AATTAAAATGGATTAAGGACCTTAATTAAGACTTAAAACTTAGCTGGGTGGTGGTGGTGGTGGTGGTGGTGGTGGTGGTGGTGGTGGTGGTGCACGCCTTTAATCTCAGCACTCAGGAAGCAGAGGCAAGTGGATCTCTGTGAGTTCAAGGCCAGCCTGGGCTACAGAGTGAGTTCCAGGAAAGGCGCAAAGCTATGCAGGGAAACCTTGTCTCAAAAAGCAAAACAAAACAAACAAACAAAAGACTTAAAACTGGAGCTGCTAGGGCAAAGGTCTTGAAGATATAGATGCCACCAAGACCTTTCTGAAAATGGCTCTAACAGCACAGGGAATATTCCCCCAAAATGACAAGTAGGATTGCATAAAATTTAAAAAAAAAATTGGACTGAAGAGTTGGTTCTGTGGGTAATGGCACTTGCTTCCAAAACTGTTGATCTGAGTTTGATCCCCAGGACCCACATAGAAGAAGATAACCTATTTCTTTTCCAAATTCACACCTGGCCTCCACATACATGTTGTGGCATATGCCCCTTAAATAAATAAATGTAGTAATTAAAACAAATCTTCTATGCACTCAGCAGCGCGAAAAGAATCTACACAATGAGAGAAAAATCTTTGCCAATTTTCTTCTTCTAGACATTAATATATAGAAATACACAAGAATTAAACACCAACAAACAAATTATACAGTTGAAAAATGAGCTGATGAATACAGAGTCCCCAAAGGAATACAAATACCCATTTAAATATGTGAATGTGTTCTGCATTTTATCTGATATAACTATCAGAGAAAAGCAAATTAACCTACATTAAGATTCTATCTAATCCCAATTAGAATGACTGTTATCCAGTGTTATTAAGGGTGTGGAAAAGAGGAGTCTTTATGCATTGATGGTGGGAATAGAAGTGTGTGGTGGTTTGAAAGAAAATGGCCTGCAAAGGGAGTTTCACTCTTAGGAGGTATGGCCTTGTTGAAGGAAGTCTGTCACTGTGGGGATAGGCTTTGAGGTCTCATATATGCTCAAGCCACATCCAGTGTCTCAGTTCACTTCCTGTTGCCTGCAAGACATAGGACTCTCAGCTACCTCTCAGCACCATGTCTTCCTGCACTCTACCATGTCCCACCATGATGATAATGAACTGAACCTCTGAAACTATAAGCTGCCACCTCAATGAAATGTTTTTGTTTATAAGAGTTGCTGTGGTTATGGTGTCTCTTCACAGAAACCCTAAGACAAGAACATGTACAGTCATTATAGAAATAAATATGGTGATCCACCAAAATATTTCAAAAAGTAGATTTACCCTGTGATCTAGCTACAACACTCCTGGATATAAATTTGAAGGAGTCCAAGTAGCCTTTTCAAAGAGATTTCAGGGTAAGTGTGTTTACTGCTGCATTATTCACAATAGCTAAGATATAGAACCAGTCAGAAGTTCACCAATAGATTAATTGCTAAAGCAAATGTGTACATATGTACAATGGAATTTTTATTTATCTGTAATACAGAATGAAATTATGTTATTTGTCAGAATGTGGAGGTGAATATCACTTTGAGCAGCAGAATAATTCAACTCATAAATTCAATACTACAGATTTTATCTCATATGTGATATGTGATTTAAGACACGAATTAGATGTAAGACATGAATTAGAATGGCATCTACTAATAGTGGAAAGAGTTCTAAAAGGAGAGGGAAGGAAGGAACAAGAAACTTCAGGGGAAGATAAAGGACATAAAACAGCAGGACGATTTGGGATGGGAATAGGACTAGTCAGAGTAGGAGAGGGGTAAGAGAACGGCGGGCTTGCAAAGAGCAGAGTATAAATGGCCAATGTGTAAACAATTAAAAACATCACAGCAAATCCCAGTACTTTGTACAATAACTTAAAAATGTAAAGTAAGTTCAATCATCAAAATTCTTGAGAAAAAAGGTGAAGCTAGCATAATTTTATCAACAAACAAGTGCCTTGTTTCAGAAATGCAGCTGAGTGAGGGTAGCCATGGGGGCTCAAGCCTGTAAAACCAACACATAAGAGATGCAGGCAGAAAGACCAGGATTTCAAGGCCAGCCTCAGCTCCATGGGAAGCTCAAGGCCAACCTGGGCTACATGAGACCTCTTAAAAACAAACCAATAAGCAAATTCTGTGGAAATGCAAATGAAGTAAAAATATTTGGGTTTGTTATGACTTTTGTGTAAAAGCAGGATGGGGAGTATGAATACTTATATTGGCTAGAGGCTACTTGTAAAAATTCATAAGTAGATAACTATAAAAAATTGATGTTTCTATAGCAACATAAGAGAATAAAACATAAAAACAGAAAAGATAACCCAGAATAACAGCCTAAAATATGTTCTTTTCCTAAAGTAAGGAACTGAAAAATGTAAGCACGTCTCTATTAAATAACTTAGAAATACTGAGTTTCATCAAAGCAAAAATCATCATAATAGAGTTTTATACATGGTTTATCTCTCTTATACTATTCAGTTTTTAGAATAAAAGAGAAATTGCTGCTAAACGATTAATTCTAAAGGATGCCCAGCATCTTTCTCTTATTCAGCATAAGCCTTTGAATGATGCTTTGTTTTTCCAGCTCTTTTTATTAATTTTTTTCATTTATTTTGCATACCAACCACAGTTTCCTCCCCTCCTCTCCTCCCATTGCCTCCCCCCACCTCTCATCTATCCCCTCCCCCATCCATTCCTCCTCTGTCTCCTTCAGAAAGGGGCAGGCCTCCAATAGGAGTCAACAACAAAGCATGGCACATCAAGTTGAGGCAGGACCAAGCTCCTCCTGCTGCATCTACATCTAGGCTGGGCAAAGCAACTCAGCATGGGGAATAGGTTCCCAAAAGCCAGCTCAAGTGCCAGGAATGGGTCCTGATTCTACTGCTGGGAGCCCAGTGACCCCAGCTAAGACTCCTAACAACAGTGGAAAGGGTGCCTGAACTGGTCTTCTGTAATCAGCTGGGTGACTACCCTAATTGTCATTTGAGAGCCTTCATCAGGTAACTGATGGAAGCAGATGCAGATATCCACAGCCAAGCACTGTGCTGGGTCAAGCGCCAAAAATCCTCTTGAAGCGAGGGACTAGAGATAGTAAGAGCCAGGGGTGTCAAGGTCATGATGGGAGAACACACAAAGACAGCTAACTTGAGCTACTGGGAGCTCACAGACTCTGGACAGAAAGCTAGGAAGCCTGCATGCGACTGACCTAGGCACTCTGCATAAGTGTGACAGTTGTTTTTCAAGTCTTTAAATTATTTTTTGAGATTATTATATAATTACATCACTTCCCCTTTCATTTTCCTCCCTCCAAGCCCTCTCATATATCTCCTCTTGCTCTCTTTCTTCTTTAAATGTTATTACATATATTTTTGTGTGTATGTGTGTTATATATATGTGTGTCTGTATATACATAGATATATGCATATATATGCATATATTTCTAAATATGTGAATACAACCTGCCCATTCTGAATAATAACACTTTTAAATACATATTTTTAGAGCTGATCTGAATTGGTTATTTAAAGCTGTTTTTCAATTTGACAGTTAAAGGGAGATATTTGAGAACATACTTAAAAATAATGATCAAGATAATGTCAGAAGACCAGAATGAACTGCACATTCTGTATGCACCATGATACTTGAGTTGGATTATGAATCATGTATCTTTAGAAGAAAAAAATTGAATGAAATTATTTTCCTTATTGTGTAAGTGATAAAACATCAAAACTTAGTTGGTTATTTGTATTGATTGCTTTGTAGATGAAACGGCTCTGAAATAAGTATATATGTATATTTATGAACTTTACTAAATACTTATGTAAATAGAACTATATTTGTTTGATTTCTAGTTTATAATGCAGAGATTGTAGAATAACAGGAGATTTTGTGCAGTTTTTAATAATCATTTTTTCCTAAATTGCTTTTATATTATCTTCAATAATTCCCTTTTTCCAAATGCAATAAATTATAAACTTGATTTTAAATATCTTCTTACTAGAACTGAAACTTGGAAACACATTAATTAGGATTTAAATATTTTTGTTTTGTTCTTAATGGAGAATCTCCTTTGCACATTTCTTCAGTGTATCATGCAAGCTCTCTGTGAAGCAAGCTCCCACAGTCAACTGGACTCATTTTCTTCTTGATTCATCGTACCAAAGTCAACATGTGTCACTGTAGAGGATGTTGACACATGCTGGACAGGAGAGCTGTTGCAACCTCAATTCGCTTTGCCCACAAATGTTCCCGCTGACACAGAACTTTTTGCTGTTGTCCCCATCCACTCCTGTAGTCAGCTTGTTCACTGACTGTCTGCTACCTCAGATTCGGCATTGTGATTGCAGTGCCCAGGAAAACTAAATGTGGCTTCCTAAAGTGGCTACGCATCAGGACTGCTGCAATACAGTGACTCACAAACAAGTGGACTCTTGGTGTCTCTCCCAGAGAAACTTTTCAGTGCTCAAGGAAAACAGAAGATTCTTCCTTGTGCTCTGGTAAGTTTCTGATAATTAATTCTGCACTCAGGAAATTCATCCTAGATTTCTATCTGTCGCTGTGCTGACTCATCCACTTTAATTTTTTTTTTTTTTTGAAATTCAAAAACTCTTAGGAATTCTTCTACACATAGAAATTAACAAACCAAATACAGAAAATCGCCACTGGGAAAACATGGCAGTTGTAGAAACATTGTTTTCTTACTCAGTTAATGGCAAAGCACATTTAAATACACCATGATAAAATGAGATGTTCAAGTATACTGACTGTCTTCATTTAATGTAGGCTTATTTTAAGTTTTACTTTTTTTCATTCAATCCTGTGTTTTGGTTTTAAGATACTTGGGAAATGAGATAGGCATAATTAGTTGTTGGTTGGAATGCCAGTTCATTTATTATTGATATGTAAACCAGAGCATACACTGATTGTTTGAACAGTATCCCTCCTCTCCTACCCCAAGTAAGGAGCCAAAATCAAAAGACTGTGTACCTGGTTACCTCCCATGCCATGGCAGTTGAATATACCCACTTTTTCATTTTCTTTGCGGCCCATGTTGTCTAAGCATTGATTGGTTTCAACATTTCTTATCTAAAGAAAACACACACAAAAACGAGAGGGTCATACAAATTCAAATACTTAATCCATAAAGTCATTCTGATACTCATGAATTACAGAGTGTTCGCTAAATAATACAAGTTTGTAAGGATATTCTTTTAGGAATGTGTTTTAAATATCACTTTGTCTTTTTCTACCTATGATTAGGCATAAACATCTTCCTAAACTTTTCCTAGCTAGAATTGGAACAATGTTGGTTTTGAGATTAGCATCTAATCAAACAATGAAGGAAGCTCTCTATATATAAGTTATCAAAGTCTTTTAAACATTAGGATATTCTCAAATTCCATCCAAATAACTAATTGATTCTTAAACCCCTATAGAATCACATTTTTTTTTTAAAAAAAAGGAAAATAAATTGGATTTGTACTTGAGTTTATATTTTTAGATTTCGATGTTATATGTTCCATCTTGGTAAATAATAAAAATTAATAACATTGCTTTTTTCTGTGACTAAGACAGATTTGCACATTTTTTTTATTCCTAATGTTAAACTTAATACAAACTTTTTAACCCTACAAACCACTGTTACAAGCTAAATGGCATTTCATATTGCAAATTCCTCAAAAGCAAGATTAAGCTGGCAAGTATAGACATAGATTACAGGTTTATAATCAAACATTGCAAATTTGAACAGAATGTAAATTAGTCATTTCTCAGTATTAAAGATGCTGACATTTTTAAATCAAGCATAAATTGTTGTAAAAGAAGTGGCGGGGGGGGGAGAATACCTGTGTTAAATAAATGAAGTACTTAAAAATCATTTTCTTCTGATGGAACTAGAAAATATGATCCTGAGTGAGGTAACCCAGACATAGAAGGACAAACATAGTATGTACTCACTCATAAGTGGATACTAGGTGTAAAGCAAAGGATAACCAGACTACAACCCACAGCTCCAGAGAAGCTAGCTAACAAGGAGGACCCTAAGATGGATGCATGGATTTCCCTGGGAAGGAGAAATAGATGAGATCTCCATGAGCAAACTGAGGGTGAGAGGGGCAATGGAGGGTACATGATGGGGGATGAGAATATATAGGAACAGGATGGTTGAGACGGAACAGGGACAGAGTGGAAGAGCAAGGAAAGAGATACCATGATAGAGGGAGACATGAAGAGAACAGTGAGAAAGAGGGTGCTAGGGAAGTTCCCAGGAATCCACAAGGATGATCCCACTTTAGACTTTTAGCAATAGTGAAGAAGGTGCCTGAACTGGTCTACTCTGGTAATCAGATTGGTGAATACCCTAACTGTTATTATAGAGCCTTCATTCAGTAACTGATGGAAGCAATGCAGAGATCCACAGCCAAACAACAGGGCGAACTCCAGGAGTCCAGTCGAAGAGAGAGAAGAGGGATTCTATGAGCAAGGGGCATCAAGATCATGATGGGAAAATGTACAGAGACAACCAAACCAAACTAGTGGGAACTCATGAACTGTGGACCAATAGCTGTGGAGCCTCCATGGGACTGGACTAGGCCCTCTGCATAAGTGAGACAGTTGTTTAGCTTGACCTGCTTAAGGGGCGCATGGCAGTGGGATCAGGATCCATTCCTGCTGCATGAACGGGCTTTTTGGAGCCCAGTGCCTATGATGGGACACCTTACACAGTCTTGGTTCAGGAGGAGGGGATTGGACCTGCCTCAACTGAATGTACCAGGTTCTGCGGACTCACCATGGGAGTCCTTGCCTTGGAGGAGGTGGGAATGAGGGATGGATTGCATTGTGGGGGGAGGCTGGGAAGCAGGAAGAGGGAGGAGAGGGGCACCTGTGGTTGATATATAAAATGAACAGAAAATTTCTTAACAATATAAAAAAAACATATTCTTTATTCACCACCCAAGTGCATATTTACATTTATCTACCCTGATTCTGAGAATTCTGTACCTCTGTGCCATGTAAAGTTATATATATATATATATATATATATATATATATATATATGTATATACACATATATATTGTATACTCTGTAATTACCTAGATATTGTTTTCTACAAGGTTATTATGCATTGGTTAAAAAATCTCTTCAATTTTTTCCAATTAATAAAATTAGAGATGTTTGATATAATTTTACAGAAAACAGAGGAGATGTATATAATTCTATTTTCCTATTTTGTGAGCATTATTGTTAATGCTTCCTGGGAGTGCAAAAAAATCCTTTGATTAGCAGGAAGACCTCAATGATCATATTGGGTAAGATTTGGAAGTGGTTAAGATTCTCAAGCCCTCTTTCAGTGGGTGGAAATTTGGTTCAGAATTACAGACACTTCCATCAAGAAATCTGAGCAGTAACCCAAAGGACAGGGAAGAGCACACTGTGATGTTCTACTGAAAGTACTTCCTAAAGTACACCCAAATAGTGGTACAGGGTTCAATTGTATTTTCAAGCTGATTTAGGTTTTTTGAAAACTGAGCCCATAAGCATATAATTTTCAAGATCAGCACATGCACAATAATTAGAAAGGTAATAACTGATAGGTAAATAGGTCTGTGTGCAATTCACATAGTCCAATAAGTCATACATTATATGGCTGAGTTATAACATCATACCTCTTATAAATTTGTCATAAAAGACATACAAGGTTCATGGCACTTGAAGAGATATAAGTTACAGTGTTATATGTAAAGTCACTTGTAAGGTTTTGTATCTCTGTTTGACAATAAAAATTTCAAAGCATATCTTTCCCAGTCTATAATCTGACAGTAGCATTTAAAAGGAACATTAAATACATTAAATAGACACTTGGCATTTGATTCTGATAAATTAAGTACAGAATTTTAAAAAACCTCCAAGTTTGGGACTGAGAAAGTGTTTGTCTACTCTAATTTAATTATGTTTTTACTTGTGAACTCATTACAATAAAATGACTTTTTTTTTACAATAAGAATGCCCAAAATATATTGTTCTTAATAACAATTTATTATTGATCTACTATCTATGATATAGAAATTTGATTTCTGTCCTTTGTAATCTTTTATGAATTCAATGATTAAATCAAGAACCATTAAGAAAATTCACATCTTATATAAAGCACTGCTTGGTGTAGGATAATACAGAAATGAACAAAGGAAACAATTTCTTTCATTGTGGAGCTTACATTTAAGTATGAAAGAAAGCAATAAAAACATATTCACAATATGTCAGAATATTAATATGTCTCATGGGAGAGGGAGAATTAGCCTTTCCTAAGGATGAATCCCCTAATTAGTTATTCATTACAAAATGATCAGCCCTGAAGTCATATACACATAAGCCACAGTAAACAGATTCACTATCCTGTACGCATATAATTTTGCATATGTGTGTAATAATAATAACCAAAGGAAAAAAGTCCATCAATCTGAGAGGGATTGAGGGAGAAATGGGTGGAGTTAGAGGAGGGAAGTGGAAGGTGAAAGTAATAAATTATATTTTACTTTAAAACATTAATTTAAAAGGCCTCATAAAAACACAAAGCACAGGAAGAGTAGACAGTGATGTAGGTGTCTGTCTACAAGGGAACTGGGAAAGACCATTTTAGTTTTGTGAGATAGCAGTCCTAATCCCATCTATGCAAGAGCAACCCAGACAGGAGAATAGCAGACAGGTGCCCCTACAGTTACAGAATATCGGAATAACAGATTAGCAGCTGTGGCTATGGGGAAGGGAGCAAGGAGCAGGCTGCACAAGTGTCCAAGACTAAATAATGTCAGCAATCCTGTGTTCTCAGTACACCTGTGCACAGTAATATCTTCCCATAGTTGCTGAAAGTGGGTTAGAGACAGTTCAGGAAGCCAGAAAACAAGTATGAAGCCTACTGTCATGATGTTGAGAGATGTGACTGGGCTAAAAGATAACAGTGGAGATCAGGAAGTAAATTTTGGAACACTTTTTCTTTGCAGATGGATCCAGAAGAAATTTCAAGTAGCTTGTATATGAGCCAGGAAACAAAAAACAACAGACATTACAAAATATCCCCAGTTTGGATCCCCACAAATGGACAAAAGATGTCCTTAATTACTTAAAACAATATTCTGAGTTCATATATGTGCAAGGCAATCTTGTGGTCTCTGTACTTGAAAATCACTTTGGTGAATCAGAAGTCCTTGCCTGGCAACATATGGCTTTGAGGTTATACAAAATGCTGGTCTACTTACTTCCAGCATAAAGGGTTACTTTTGAAAGGTCTAGTGAAAATCTGGTTTGCTCCCCATCAATTTTACAAGAATAAATATTCCTAGACATCAAATTGTCTTTACTGCTTGAAAGTCTAGTAGATTTTTTTTTTGCCTCAAAATATCTTGGTATTTCATACTATGGAAAATACTGTGTATACTATTCCTTTTCACAATAAAGATTCAATTTTCAGGACTGGCTCCTTGAATTACACTCAATAATGCTCATTTTACTTCACTAGGTTGATTTTTATATTTAGGAAATGTTGCTTTGGGTATTGTTTATTATGTTCTATGTCTAACAAATTTTATCAAAGTTTTAAAATTTCATGGTCATTTAAATTTTTCTCCTTTTCTACCCTTAAAACTATAATGGGTTTTTCTGCTAAGGTTATGGATAATGTGTTCTTAGTTGTTAAGAAATTACTTCTGAGATTATTTGTTCTTTAATTTCTATAATTCCCTATGTTTTAGTGATGTATCTTAGAGGTTTGCTAAATTTGGATGTTATTGTTCTTTTCTATATCACAGTTTACAACACTTACTTTATGTTTTAGTTTCTTCTGAATAATTAGGTTGCATCTAAAATTTCAACCTGTTTGCAGTATATATAATGATATATACTTCTGATTATAGAGTTGTTTAGCATTCATTCTTTAATATAATTTTTTCAAGTTTTTTTTCTTGCTTTGCCTGAATTCTATTTTCCTTAACCTTTAAGTGGGAAGGTTGATAAGGAGTCATTTCCTACTTCATCTGGAGATTTGCCTTTTCTGTACTTTTAAAGATTGTCTATTTAAAGCCTCTACTGTTAT